GAAGTTCGTCTCCAGATTGATTGGGAGAAAAGTTGGAATACGCCAGGTGTTGTTCAAAAATGTGCCTCAGCGGCAAGATCATATGTGATCAGAACACCTAAAGGTGACCTCAGGCGTAATCGCAGACACCTGCAGTTGGTGTCGCCAGGCAGTGTTGACATCACTCCTGAGTATAATGTGTATCCTCCTATTTCTCTGGAACAGAACGCCAACCTCGACACTCCACAGAGTGCCGAACCAAGTGTCCGGTACCAGAAGCCGGAACCACTAGCAGTTACCAGTCAACCTGTGTTCAGGACATCCAGTGGCCGAGTCGTGAGGAAGCCACAACGATTCAATAACTATGTCTAGGGCTTAAGTCATCACGAGATTAGGTTATCAGAATAACCAAGTATTCATATCAGTGACTTTAAAGTTTGCTTATGTTTAAATGATAAGTCAGGAAGAATTTCCATTGGACTTTCAAATGAGCATTTGAATTTCAGTTTAAAGTTAACTGTTCAGCCTTACAGAAGTAAATCGAGTTACTGTTAAATTTCAGTTAATCTTGTTATGATCAGTCACAGGTATACAGGTCTAAAGTGTAAAACCAAAGGAATAAGTAATGCTTACTTACAAGAGATATCTTTTTTGTTTGGTCTTGAGTTGATGTTAACCATGGTAACAAGTTATCTCAAGGAAAGGGAGATGTTACAGTTTCGCGCAATGATTACTCCCAACTGACAGTGGACAATAAGCGCTCCCTGAGACGCGCATGTGCATAACCATGTGCGTTCGAGCAGACGCCATCGTTGTAAGGTTACATTTGTTTGTTTACATTTAATCTATGAAACGTGACGCCTTCATAACAGCAGGCTCGCTCGTGTTATAAGTGTTGATGAAGTGTTTTGTTTAGAACACAATTAATACTCAAAAGTATGAAACAATTGACTTAATCAAGATTAATCAAGCTATCAGAAGTAAACATTGTGAAGTTAACACTGAACAAATTGTTTGTTGATTATTCAGTTATATGTTTATGGACAGACTGCTTTAAAATCTGCCGTGACTTTAACGAGATAAAATTTAAAATTTAAACGAGGCTTACCTGTAAGTTGAAGTTTGATTATAATTCTATTGAGTTAAAGTCAGGACCGGGGGTATCAAGTACCCTCCCTTTCCAACACGCAAAAGAATTATACTGTTCTTAGTGTGTCCATTCACAGCTTTAGAAACTTAAGATCGACTGCGCACGCACCATCTCATTTGATTCCTCCGTTCCTGACTTCAACTCAATAGAATTATACTCAAACTTAAAAAAAAAAGCCAGAGGCTACGTTTGGTCATACCCTGGTCAGACATTATTCAGTCGGTAGTATCCCATTTTTGACAGCGCCTTGGTTACTGATCAAAACTGGGACTAACAGAATGGAGCAGGTTAGCCACTGTCAAAACCGGGAGAAGTAGCTTTACCAATTAAGGGTAATTATGTGAATCCGCTTGGGATTGATTCAATCACGATTGTTATTGAAGATAAGTACATGGGTGGGGTGGTGGGGTGGGGTGGGGTGCGAAGATGCCAGCCCTTTTGACCTGAAAGTTTTTTAAATGGCCAATTGAAACTCGGTGAAAATGAAGTGTGCATCCCTCCTTTCTCAGAAAGCTGTATCCGCCCCTGTAAGTAGCGGGAGAAGTTGGCGAAGTAGCTTAATCCACTTGGAAACAGAATAACTTACAGAATTCTCAGTTCACCTTTCATGTTACTGGAATGAATATTGAAACATATATACTGAGTCAAAAAAGAAACTTCACATTCTTTCATCAGGGCACTATAAAAGAACAAGAGATGGTAAGAGGGTTAAATTGTTATTATTTCATTGCTGAGATCTGTGTGATGTACTCGATACACTGACATTGCCATACTCAGTTCCATTAGGCTACACCGCCGTTCCAAAACATGGGTATACAGAATGTCAAGTCACAAGAATAAAAATGCGAAATTTCCCAGTTCAATATCGTGTATGGCCGCCCCGCGCATTCACCACTGCCAAACACCGTCTCCTCATCGACTGCCTGATGCTTGTGAACACGTGGTTGGGGATTCTGCGCCATTGCTCTTGCAAGGCAGCGCCAAGTTCCTGCAAATTCTGAGGTTGGTTCCTAAGACCACGAAGCCTTCTCCCAAGTGCATCCCAAACGTGCTCTATGGGATTAAGGTCAGGGGACCTCGATGGCCAATCCATGACGTTGATTCCAGCGTTCTGAAGGAAATTTCGTGTCAACATCGCGATATGCGGCCGAACATTATCATGCTGGAACTGTAGACCTTGGCCATGAGCCGCCATGACAGGAACGAGTTCAGGGGTGAGCACCTGGTCGCGGTAAGCAGCAGCTGTGAGGTTTCCACGGATGACCAGAAGTCGGGAGCCGTTGTTCCCACAGAAAGCACCCCACACCATGCACTTCCGCCCCCGCATCTGTCGACCTTCTGTACACAACATTGGGCATACCGTTCACGACGTCGTCTCCTGACTCTATGCCTGCCGTCCGCGAATCTGAGGGTAAACCTGGATTCATCGCTAAAGACGACTCGATTCCAGTCTCTCTGGGTCCATCGGAGGTGACGTTGGGCCCACAGCAGACGTTGACGTTGATGAAGCGGCGTCAATATTGGCCCACGATATGGACGTCGAGAATGGAGATTGGCAGCCCGCAACCGATTTCGAATGGTCTGTGAGGACAGTCGACCTCTAAACATCTCAGCCCTGGCTCGTGTAGCCAGCAGAAATCTGTCACGTAGGTGACGTAGGACGATTTGACGGTCTTCTGCTCCTGACGTCACACGTGGACGACCCGACCTTGGGCGATCAGAAGTGGTGCCAGTTTGTTGTAGACGACCTCGCAAGTCATACACAGTACGACGGCTGCATCCCATTGCTCTTGCGACGTCAATAACTGATCTTCCCGCTTGCAACATTCCAACGGCACGTTCACGTTGCACATTTGACAATCGTGGCATTGCAAGTACCGTTAGGACTGTGGTTTAAAAGTGTTTTTTCAATTCTTGAGGCCAATGCAAACACGTGCATATGAAGAAAACTTCGATGCGAAGATCACGTGATCGACTGCACGTGCAAAACCTGATTTGGCACTAACGTAATTTGCACGACGAATGGATGGGTTTGGGTGGGTTTTGCTAACGTTTTTCTAGAGTCGAAAGATAGGGATCCCATTTCGGATACATAGATGTATCATCAGAGAAAAACTATTCATTATTTTCCAAATTACATTTTGTGAAGTTTCTTTTTTGACTCAGTATATTTAACCCAGATATGATGTAATTCTTCTTTGACATCAGCAACTTTTCAGGAGGTTACCAGTATTTGAAGACTCAGTCAAGCTACTGTTTATTAAGATGATAATTTGGTTTTGGACAAATTGTTCAAGGTTTGTTAATGGTTATTTGGAAAATGAGCTTCATATTCAGTTGCACACTGGTTTGCAGGAGATGAAAGCTTCAGGATATTTTCATGTCTGTTTTCCTAAACTTTTGTCATGACTTCTACCAAATTTTGAAACATCTTTGATATATTTGTTATGACACTAGTAAGTATCCCAGAAAAGGAAATAGATCAAAATTAGTGTTTTGTCCCTTGGGGATATGGTCTCTGGTCCAGTAAAACAAAGATTATCATTGTTTAAGAAGCACTAAATTTGTCAATATGTAATTTTATTGATAAAAAGCTTTGAACGTAGTTTATATTCTTTGCACCTTATTTACATTAGTAGTTAGCAGTTAAATATCTCTGAAGAAAAAGCAATATATTTGTATTTTAGGTAACATTCTATTTCAATGCTAGCTAATTGTTTGGATAAATGTGGATCAACTGTTCAAAGATTAAGTTATGCTTTGATTTGTTTACATTAATATATACAGACATAAGGTGCACGGAGTAGTAGACAGGAAACATTTTTCTGCTTTGTTTTTATTTACCATTCTTTCAATTCATTAAAAGATATTCAGATTATTGATTCAACTAAGTTTGAACGGATAGATAAATAAAGGCGCCACGCGCAGTGTTGACAATTTATTTATAGATACCGAGCCGATCTGCAACTTGAACATGTGGTTGTGTTCACGATTTTTATAAAATTACGATGGGAATTTATTTTAAAAAAATATTGAAAAAATAAATAAAAACTTCAGTTACCCTTCCCCTTCTAATATCTTTGACGGACGTGAATTGCCAGATAGGTTAGAAAGAAAATACGCTTCCCACTATCATTAGTTGGCCGGGACGAATTTGTATCGGGCATGTAACTCATTTTCACATTGAAATACATTACAAATCAAATACATGTACGTATAACTTTCCTCTCTAAATATCATTCACAAACGACGGATCAACAATTCGCAATCACGTATCGCCAGCGGTGACGCCATTCAGATTAGTCAGTGGTTGTCCCCCCTAACGTCAAAAACGAAGTGTGTGGGGTTTATCGACCGGGACTGGATCGGTCTATTCAAAGATACCTGCCTTTATAAACACTTGCAATATATGGCGGAAAGTTCACTTCGGTGTTCATGTTTGCGTCTTTTCTGAAACATTCTAAGTGACTCTTGGGTTATCGGCGACTCATTGGTGATATGAATAGGACTTTAAACTGATCTTTCAACGTTTGAACATCTCCTTTCCTTGCTTGTTCTTTTAATTCGCTCTGAGGATAGCCATATTGAAGACTGTATCAAACCATTTATTGGTTAGAACATTGGTGGCCATCTTTCACCTTCATAGATGCAGTGATTTTAACGAAAATATTTATCATCGCCGCAAGGCGGACGAACAGGCCAGGATATAAATCTATATTTAGCTTTCCTACTATGACAAAAAGAAAATCTTTCTCGTCTACATATGATAAATTCAGATCAATTTAGCAACAGAAATATTTTGAAACCGTGACAAATGTTAAAATGAAATGCTATTACGAGCTAGAGTGTGCAAGATGATTATTTGTTTTACCCAATCGTAATCCTTTTCCAGAGGAGAATCTCTGGAAAGTTTGATCGCATCCTTGTCTTTGGCATATTTGTGAACCCGTAAAACGACGCTAGGCCTGCATGGATGTTGAAGCTACCACCAGTTATAAGAGGAATTCTCCTAATGGACTGAGGCTGTAGGATAAGTGCTAAAAAGGCAAAAATATAATGTCAGTATTTCAGTAGTTCTGAGACGTTCAAGTTCTTTTGGTTGAGGCATTTCGATTGAAAAAAAAATCTATATCTTTCTGAAATTTACCATGAGAGCACATCGATGAATATAATTAACATTTGATTATCACTAATTCCAACATACACACCATGTTTTGAAAGAAGATCGACACTTACAAACATAATCGTGTTTAATTTCGCAATGTTTTCCAGTATAGAGCGGGGGGCAATCACATTTGAACCCTGGTATCTCATCGACGCATGTCCCTCCATTTAGACATGGTTGTGAGGTGAAGCATTCGTTTATATCTACATAAAAATAAATCACATTCAGCATTCTCGAAGAAGTCATTAGTGAACTGTTAAGTCACGAAGTTTCCACAGTTTCAGACAATTTAAGATCAATGTCCAATAAAGGTAAAAATATTAAGATATGGCAGAAATTGAACTTTGAAATTATATATTGATCCCTACTGTTCACTAAACCTGTAGGAAATTCCAATTCATTTCGAACACAAGTGGTGGAGTAATGGGAATAGTTAGTTAGAAACATCAGGGTACTACCCTGGCCGGCAAGGTGTGTCTTCATCTTATTTTACACCTGTCCAATAGTCAGTGTACTATGCAAACCAGTCATATGGTGGATTTAAAACAACACATCGAACTTGATATGATAAAGAAAGACTATTTTGTTGCTTAGAAAATTGAAATGATGCACTCAGTTGTATCATGATGATCACAAAGTATATAACATTTTCAAAGCCCAACTATGAACAGACAACCCCATACAACACATTTTCAAAATGATATTGAAACTGCATACAATTTCGATAGATTAATTACAAAATGAACTTCAGACAAACAGCCTGTATTTCAATGTCTTTAATGTTTGTTGTGTACTGCTAAAAAGCACCACAAATCAAAAATAGATACACAAGGGATGATGTCGACGTTGTTTTCGATGTGTGAAACTGCACTTTGTTCATCTCACGGTGCCTCTAGTATTTGTAAATCTTAGCTCTCCTTACATGAGTCCACAATCCCCTTATTGATTCTGTGACTTTGCAACTTCAGATTGCTCTAGAAAGAGACGCATTTCTGTGTATTTGTATCTGTTTAGGACTTGTACTTCCATTTGCCCCAAATCGAGCACACAATCCAGTGATTAATATTCTCAGCAAAGCCCCGCCTCACAAAGTACTGAATGGATCAGAAGGTCGGTCGGTTTTTCCTCTGGTCGTGTTAAGCAAACGATTATGCAGTGGTGTTAGCTATTATCCTGCTTGGCGATCAGCATAATAGGGATAAATGAATGGGTTTGTGAAGATGGTGTTTTAACATTTATCTGTAGGTGTAGTAGTTATTTCTAGAGTTTGGAATGGTTGAAAGAGATTTCTGAATAGTATGGTTTTGTCATATGTAAGTATAATCATAAGAAGTTTTCATTTCCACATCAATTACGTTGACCAGAAGAAAAATCTAGAAATGTTGGGTTTTGTAAGCACATGACGTCGTCAATATATTTATAATAATATCTGTCAATATGTGAAGGTCAAAAATCACGCCTAGATCAAAATCAAAATATGACGAATAGAGGTACTTCGCTATATATACGAGTGTCTGCCAAGTCTTTATTCGACTCCAGAAGAAAACATATTGTAAAATTTGAGAGAAGGTGTTGTGTAATGTTGTTAAAAAACAATCCTTTCGAAATGATTTCTACTACATCAAAAATCAAAAGTCGTTTAGGCTCAGGTTGTTATAAAAAAGTTGTATAAAATGTGTCGAGTTTTGAGAAGAGGACTGTCGGATTTCATTGTTGTAAATACGGTTTGAAGTATTGAAACAAAAACAAGCTATCATAGTCCTCTCATTCAATGGGTGGTTTCTCACTCTGACGTTATTATTGCTATGAAGGTGTGTTTTGTTAATTACATTAATTACCTTTTTGTTATTATGAGTCACAAATGTTTAAAGCACTGAGAGTGCATCTGAACTCGCATCCTGAACTTAGGCTGTGTACTTTCACCTGTTTAGTAAATGAGAGTTACCTACCCTTCGCTATGCTTCCCGCAAAGGATCGAGAAGCCATTCGATGAGTGTGTTACAGCGTAGATTTTGCTGGATTTCTCCAGAACTGTATAATAGGTATATAAGCGGTGGTTGTTGAGATGTACAAGGACTGCTTTGAATTTACGCTCAACTGTCTGCTAACATAGGTGTTTTACCACTCAAGAGCTTTACCACTCGTCTACATTGATCATTCAACAGCTGTCAACAATTTTCAAACATCAGTCAGTACATCTGTTTACCAGAAATATCAAGACTTTAGTGAGTTTATATTTTAAATTTGTGGCCCAATGTTTTAGATTTGTGCTCCAGTTATATTGTATTATAAATCTGTATTGTCATTCATTGTAACCTTGGTTGTTTGTTAATGTATAATTGAATATTACTTGTTTGTGTCTTACTTTACTGGTTTAAAGGAGACTCACAAGACTTTTTGTCACGGTAATTTCGTGTGCTCGAGATTTTATTGATTCACAAACTTGTTGCACGTGTCGATGCCCTCCGGGAAAAGTGTTCAATTCCATTCACTTAATTTCTGTGTTAATATCTGTATTTGTTTACACATATTCTACCAATGTATGTATTTTGATTTCCTATTTGCACAATTTTCACATCTACGAGAAAGTAATTATCCCCCATTCGTAGTTCTAACAATGTTATTCTATGTAATACATGTTTTAAGAGAGAAAAAGAGATGAGTCTATCACGAATCACTCTGAACACTGCAACTACATATCATAATATATGTGCAATTTTAGGAAAATTTGATTAAAGGAATCAGGAAGTTATATCCTCACAGTTCCATTTAGTCCCAAGGTTCGTAAGGTTAATTCAATATCTAAAAACATACCTTACAAATATATAAGAACTAACCAAATTCGGTATCATTGTTTAAAAATCAAGTTGCGATAGAAACTAAATGAATATATGTTCAGTCAATACAACGTGCACACATTTGCAGTGCTAACGGGTGAAAACGTGACAACTGTTTGTGCAATCAGACTCTCTCATACATGTAACGTATATTCTTATCGCTTCGACAGAATGCTTTTAAAGTAGATGTTTATCTATAATGTTTACACTGAACATAATACCTTTCCCACATATATTTACCTGCTTTTTGTGTCCAAATAGATATTCCAGTGTTCTGAAATCGTAAACGTTAACAGTAAATAGTGTATGTTAGTTTTAGTACAGTACACGTGTGGCATCAAACACGGCACACAAAGTCACCAGTGCATCCAACAGTTTGATCAAGTGTGTGAATAGTTGTATAGAGTAATGTAGACAGAATATTGTTGTAGGTAGAAAAGTATCATTATCACCTTCAGAAGGGCTGTGCTGTCAAACGTGTTCCCGACAGAACCGCCTTTTGACAAAAGCAGGTTTTTATACTAAAAAAAAAATCATATATCAATTTAAATGAATTATATTTCCACTTTTATTGTCTGTATTACCTCTTTTCTTCTAAGGTTATTCCGAATCAAGTGTCTATTATTTTAAGAAAAAAGTTAATGAAGGCATTGGTAATGTATTTGTAAAATATGACGGACAGCTTTGACATGTACGACAACGAATTTAGAAATTATTCAATATGGTTGAAATCTACATGCATACAAATATATTTTGAATCAACCTACCCTGGGTCCCGTGACTTCATTTTCATTGCCTAATACGAGGACACTTTTATCAACAGCCGTGAGGCAGACTGTGGTTCCAGGCACGCCTGATACAGTGAGAGTGATGTTGTTGCCTGGACTAACTTGTGGTTTCTCGAAGCTTATGTGTAGCTACAACATAATTTCATAATGAACAGCAATAACGGTATTTTCCCAACATTTCTACAAATTGAAATCGACGCAGCACAACTGTTGTCTAGTAGACACTTTTGCTGTAGTATGATTGTCGATTTCAAATTGTAAATTGTACCACCAACCAAACTACGATAACTGGTAATAAAAGTAAAGACTTACTTTGTAGGGTAACAAACGAAATGAAGCGAACCTTGCAAATTTTAGTTCTTGGTTCCATTGTCATTATAATTTCGACTTAGTGACATAATATGTACAAAGCGGAATTTTTCCAGCTGTTAACCATGAAATCAATGATTCACACGCAGTGAAATATGCTTTTAATACTGAAGGGACAGTAACCTACTCTAAATATAATTACAGTGGACTCTGTATAATCCGACATCTGAATTATTCGACAATCTGTCAATTCCGACATATTTTTTTGGTCCCGGCAGCGTTCTTCTATATTATCATAATTTGAACCTTGAATTATCCGACATCCGTACATTCCGAATTCCAACACCATTTTCTTCTCCCAATGACACTATCACGCTGTACAATCCGACATCCTCTCCCCATATTGGACTTGTCAATGGCCAGTTGACAACTAACATCCTGTAACTGGTAATCTCTTTGGTCCCAGCACTTGCTAATTATAATATAATAAATTGGGAGGTAATTAGCAGTGTGAGAACGGCTGTACCGTTTTTACAAGCTGAGTGAACAATGTGAGGACCTAGGTATGTAATTACCTGACTCTATGTATAATCCGACATTTTTTCCCGGTCCCACTGAGTGTCGAATTAAACACATAGTCCACTGTATAACAAAAGTCTGTGCAAGGATGCGGCCGTCATACTAGCTGTTTGAGGATATTATTGTAATATCTTATCTGCGAAACAGCGAAGTATTCTCCCAGTTCGGGCTAGAATATAGACTATATATCCGTTTTGTTTCTATAACATATATATGCCTTACTCTCTAGACGTTTTCGGGGCGGTGGAATAGCCTTGTGGTTAAAACGTTCGCTCTTCACGCCGAAAACCCGGGTTTGATTTCCTACATGGGCACAATGTGTGAAGCCCATTTTTGGTGTCCCCTGCAGTGATATTGTTGGAAACTAAACTCATCCAATCTAAACGTTTTCACTATTAAATCCATCTGTCTTAATTAACCACCAAAATAACTCTTGATAAGCAGATCAACAAATAAACTGGATAAGAAATATTTGAATTAACCATAGAGAACATATAATGTCAATGCAACATAAAACCCTACAAGTAGTTTTTATAGCCATGTGGCCATGCAATATTTAAACAACCTTGACAAAGTTCTTTATTCAAAGTTTCACATACCGACGACAGAAGACTGTACAATTCACAATAGGCGTACTAGGATTTATGGTTCCGGGGCTCCTTTGACGAAGCAACCTTTACTAAGGTTAACCCTAACTCCCATTATTTAATATTGCACTATGGTTACCTTAGTGACTTACAATCACCTTAGTGCTTTGTGAAAGGAGGCCCTGATGATTGGAAAATAGAAAATGGCTGGTTTTGTTTTGAGAGGGTTTCATTTTTTTCATACCTCATCATTGTCAGAGCTACCGATATTCACATGAATCCCATCAGAAACTGCTACGCCGTCCGGTAGGAAGTAATACACAACAAAGTATGCTTCTGGGTACATATCTGGTGTTATGTGGAACTGTGTAGTTAATGAAGAATTCCTGTTGGTGGCTATGATGCCGTCGTAAAAGACCTCGTGGCGTACTACTATCTGGAAAACACATGACTAAACTTGTACTTTGTCACTTATCATCATCCTTTTATTTCATTTACAAATGTTAACATTACCGTTAACACTGAATGTGAATGATTTCCACATTCCGATTATTGATTCGATTATAAGTGAATTTATACAAAATGGAACTTTTATATTCATCAAAACCGCACTTTCAAAACCAAACAGAAATTCACCATAGTAAACATGTTGCACCTTTAAATTAGCTTGTACACTGTATGGAAAAGGAAATTATGTACAAATACTTGACTATGACTAAAAACGAAGCAAAAAAGAACTTGATATCCGATGGTGATGTAGCATAGGTTTGTTTTGGCTTTCAGCCTACTAACGTTCCGATAAATTTCATAATTTGATGGTCAAATCCACATTGAAGCGTACACTTTCTTTTGCCGTGTAGGTAGCCATGCAAAAATCACTGATTATATAATCCATAAGAAATCTCTGCTAAAAGTGGCTTGTAGAGTCCGACTATATCATGACCATGTGTTTATGAATCAGTATCAAATGGTGATGTGGTGTTCGCGAAAATGTAAGCGTATCCTGACCCAACCGGGACATGCGTCATAAACATTGATAAAGGCTAGTCAACTGTTAATCTGAAAACATTTTGGAAATTTTGGTATAAGTCAAAATAAGGAATTGCTTCGGACATAACTTTTGCCACTAATGCGTCAAAGTTTGTAATTTCAACTATAAAACGTTTTGAAAGATTTACTGAGCCCTTGAATGGTGTAACGTGAAAACGCATGCATCCAACTTAAACTGTGAGAAACATATTTGTCTGTGAAATACAAGGCGGTCATTACAAAATTATTGATTTTTGTAAACATATATAGTTTTTACATATGAACAGTTGAAGTTTTCCTAACATGTATACGTTACCCTATATTTCAGATCCGGCAGTACTTTGTTCGAAAGAATTGTAATACTGAACCAGTCGTCTACCTGTACAAAGAAAACATTGACTCTTGAGCACAATTGCAATCGATGTTTATATGTACATATATTATGTAATGTATATAACTTTCTTACATTTCTAGATTTATTGTACGAATAGAAAATGACAACGTGATAGTCTGTGAACAACGAAGATTTTAGTTACCAAAATTATATCTGCACTACTCTTCTCTATATCTCATCAAACAATAAGTTTTGGTCAAACTTGGTGACACATATACATAATCAATATATTATATTTCATTTAAGTCCCATACTTTGACTTCTTGTGATGAGGGAAGAACTTCCAAGTAGTATCCCTCAGACCCATCAAATGAGGTCACATCCATATCCTTGCTGACTCTCTGATATTCGACCTGATGATAAAGATTTTGTCTGCACACATAAGTGTTTGTTACCACGGTATATCATTTGTTGCGTTATTTACAAAACATGTTCAGTTAGTTATATTAATGCTTAATCATTTATCTCCATGAAATATATGATTAAATGAATCGGTGGTCAAGTTTGGTTACCTAGTTGAGGCATGTCTTCGTATCCAGATTGTTTTTGACTTAGCTCATTATTTCAATCATTAATTGCATGTCACTGTCAGAAAAATGGGTTTCATTGAACAAAAAACACGAGTGATTTACCTTTACGTTAAGAATCGTAGCATCGCTTGGTATAACGATGCTAAAAGTATTGGAACCGTTCAGTGCTGGTATAAATGTAGAGCTGGATGTACTCCCCTTCCTATTGATAGTTGTTGTAAGTGTTCCTTTTGATAAGGAAGCTGGCAGTGGATCTCCGTTGGATTGTCGTATCAGTATCTTCAAACAAAAACTGAGTCAGTCGGTGACAGCAAATTAATGAAACGCTGGAAAAATGTCAAATGTTTTAATACCCTGATGTTAATAGCGTGTGTGATCAGAATAACTGGCTCTGGTTAAACAGACATAACAGGCTTGGTCGTTCGAGACGTTTGTGGTATGAAGGCTTCTGGATGTTCGGATGTACATGTAGTTATACAAGAGCGACACAAGGAAAATCCGACGCCTTTTGCTGCCTGAATAACGTTAACGAACAATACACTAAACGCCAATAGAAACGTTACCCTCCTACATTTATGAATTACTTAAAAACTATCAAAGATGTGTTGGAAGGTATTAGTTTACATGAACGCTTAACAACACGGCTTTATGCAAATCACGAAACAAAATTCTCAAATGCATTCATATTTAGGTGAAATGCATCTTTGTCAGGAGAGTAAAATTGTCCTATTTTCGTCCATGCCGAAATAAACCCCAAAACAGTGATTTAGATTTCCAAAAGAAAGGTTGAAATACCATTCTGTTTTGAGAGAAAGATAAACCATTTACAGTCACCATTTTTCAACTATTAAAACAAGAAACAACTGTTGTAGAGTGTGTAAAGTGGTGAAATAATCATTCCTATGATTTCAGTCTTTTAAAACACTTTCTGCTGATTTGCATTAGTGAAAACAAGTAAAACGTGTCTTAGATATTGTGAAAAAATGTTTAGGAACATTTAAAATTATCTTTGTTAACATTTTTGCTTGCAAAGTAACGTCTTTCCATTTTCTGTTTACACATAGCAACATCAATTGCCAAAACGCAGCAATTTGCAGTATTTGCATCCATTTCACATGTAGAATGATTTTAAAGGGTGTAAAGAGAGCCTAGAATGCATGATATGATACACAAGTACCAGAAATACGCCACGATTAACAGCTGAAGAGAGAGAAAGAGCCATTGTTATGGTGCAGGGCTTCAGACAGACTGGGGTCACCGTAGACAGACCAAGAAGTGGACATCCGCGCATCACAACGCCAGCTGTAGATAAGTACCTCCGTCATTAAGGAAGGAGGGTAACGTTTCTTTTGGCGTTTAGTGTATGTATTATGCGAAATATTATGCAGTTGAATGTTATTATGGTTTGGCAGTTCTATAAGCTATTGTATATAGAATATTGTAGGTGCCGAAATGGATGCATTAATACTATTCTTTGATCAATAAATATCTGCCAGGAAAATGAAATCACTAGGCAGTAAAGACCTCTGGTGTCAACATTGCCAAAATAAAAAACACATATGTAACCATTTCTCCTCTCGTAGGTGAAGTCTACCTGTGTATGAAAAGGCATACCTGTGTATGAAAAGGCATCCCTGGTCGAAAATACTTGGTCGCTGGTGTGATCTGTATTTCTATAGGGCTGTCATAGAGGACTACAGCACTGGAGCCATTCATGGTGATACCCTCCTCCGATACATATGCGTCTATGTAGAGGGAATCAGAGGACAGTGGTGCATTGAGAGCTTCCCCCATTGTTCTTATTTCGGACATCGGTATGTCAAATGTCGCAGAGCCTTTTATCTAAAATGATCAATTACAACCCAAGGATGAAACTAAAGAATACTTTATATCCAGACATAAATCAGAACTCTTTTCAGTTTATGTCTTTAACATTTCTTAAGGATTTCACTTGAAGGAAAATGATGTATTGATCTATACTCTTCTAAGACGTAAGAGAATTAGTATCAAATAAGCACAATTGTACGAGATATTAGTTTCTAGTAATGGGAAAAACGTTATAATGAACCAATTCGGTAAACATCACGAACGGTAAAGTAAGAAGTATATACATAATATGACGGATAAAGACCTTGAAGGATGATTGATAAAGCTGACTATTTTGCATCACTTGTGTAAACACTTGTCAAACATTCATTCACGTAACCACGCACCCAGTGCATAAGGTTCCCATTGGCGATTTGAATGAGTCTGTCCAACGCCTCTTGCAGTGACAGGCTTAGTGCAGTCAACGTAATCGGCGGTCAGTCACATTGATGCATATACCCCCAGATGTTCCAAACGTACTCAGTATGGAAAAGGTATATGCTGATTACTGACGCCAGCATTATATGCATGTTGTCCTACTGGAGGGTAGCCATTAGCCATTACAGGGTGTCTAATAGTCAACCGACATGCCTTGCAAACAGGACAAACAAAGGGTTTCATTATGTTGTATGGATAGTACTGTCAGTGACTCTTCTGGAATGGGATTTGCTCAGTCAGAGTGATACCACCAAATACACACGGCGACGAGTATTCATGTTAGTGTCCACCATTGCCGTCTGTTGGCCACGTGACATTTTGTAAGATGAGACACGGATTCTTAATGTCCGTCGAGCATTAGATGAGATGCATGTAGACGATTTCTAATCAGATCCGAAACTCGTACTCCAGTTGTGTGATGAAGTTTTGCAGCTAAATGATTCGACATTTGAGCTAAATTGCGTAGAACCTGGTTTCGGACCAGTCGATCCTGTTCTCTAAACGTGAACATATAACGCCGTCTTCACAATCGAAGCACTTTGGATTTGTTGGTTCCACAGTCTGCTCATGTACGACTTCTGCCAGCATGCCAGTAGACTGTAGACGCTGCTCTCGTTATAGACTCCACAACACAAACAATGAATGAATTCATGTTACAACTGCATGATAAGAAAGAATCCATAAGACTGGCCGAAATAATAGTCCATGGGGATGAATCCACCATCCTTGAAAGTGTCAAAATCAGCAATGGCGGTACTGCATGTAGAACGTGAAAACTACAGTATGTATTTTGGTTTTGCGTTTTACTGAAATACAACTTTTACATGGGATGTTTGTCGTCAACAATTATTTTCGTTTTATTTCTGTAACATATATATTTCATAATCCCCTACATTGTTTGAATAGTATACATATCATATGATTGAAGATGTTTCAGATTACACGTGTTATGTGTGTTTTGGGGCAATCTAAAATATGTTATGTATCAGCGGGTCAGTTAATCACCCTTTTAGATGATGATGAGTATGCAGGAAGACTTCGTCCATAGTACTGCGGCTTGTCCCATGACTTCAGAGTGCCAATGATGGAGACGTTACCCTCGACCTCTTTTCCAAACAAATACCTTGGTAAAAAATCACGAGGGTAACTGAACACAGTCACGAATGTTTTCAACATGACACATTGGTAGACTTGTTTGGTCAGTGTAACACATTCACATATATACATGTAATGGAAATTATCTTACCTTCATGTAAAATACTTTAATTTTATTGGTCAATGACGCGTTAACAAGTTTCCGTGTCACCCCTCTCAAATGGAAAAAAATATTACCCGCTGCCACGTAACCGCCAAACTCTCCGCCGAGAAGCTTTGTCGCTAACAATGGTATGACGTCATAATCTCATTTAGTGCTTAACACTCAATGCGTTTATTGAAACCATTCACACTTACTTTCAGTTCATTCTTCCCGCTCTTTTATATTTTCGCTATTTTATACATTGAATCGTTTGCACAATCAACTTAAACATAACTAACCATTTTCATAGCAGTATTAAGCTTGTCAAAATGTTCCACTGATTTAAAAAATTCAGTGGAGAGGAAGACGCCATTTTGTTTACATGTCATATAGTGGGTAGCGATCTTCAAAATATAATAAAATGATATTTTGTACATTTAACATGGCGGTAAGATAAATACGTTGCATGTACAATGATATCTGAACAGTACCTGGCTGTTACTTTCACGTGAACAAAATCGTCAGTTAAGACAACAAATTTGTTTTGTTGTGGAAATTCAACTTCGACTTCGTAGGTTGGTGAATCTGAAAAATATGCCAAAGTCTATTTCATGTTTCAATGCAATGTCAGTTGTTTTATCCAGTACGTTGAATACAAAACCCATAAGAAAATATATGTACATATGTTCGTGTCAATACAGACATGTGACAAATCCAGACAGGTCTCATGCACTTCCTTATCGTGACTTGTACCGCATGGTCTCGAGATGTTTCAGGTGAACACTTGACTTACCCTTTTAGTATTCGGGACAGGTGCCATCAGTGGGGCAGGATTCTGTGAACTTACTGTGATTCAATCGATTCAAGACACATGTTTATGATACACTGGACTCTGCTTTTGGGAAAGATTTCTTGTGATTATAGACATGGTTCTGTATCACGTTTCATTATACACTTCTTGCCATGTTATTAGTCATAAGATGTATTCTGGGGAATGGACATGTTCCAATACAAGCAGCTGTTTAGATTTCCTCAAAAGACAGTTTTATCCATCTCAGGATCAATTTGTGTGTGAAATTTATGTATTCGTTTCTGGTGCAGTTTCATAACCATAAAAGTAATACAAACTGTCGCTTTGCTCAACATAATCATAATGATGCTCTGAAATATATAGTGTGACAAGGTGTGACATGAATGTACAATATATTAAAAAATCATATTGTAATCTCTGACCGCACGTTTCTTCCTTAATATTTTGTCAGATGATTTGTTTGTAACTATTTAGTACATAAAGAATCAAGATAGCAATCTGTGTAATGTAGCCAAACCAAGCCTGAGTAATATCTGACTAATGTTCGAGCAAATACTCACAATAATCCATGACTTTCAGATTTACCGTCGTCGAATTTACCTTTAAAGAAAGTGTATTTGTAATCATGAATGTAAAGGACACGAGGAAAATAGCTTGTGTTGTTGCCTACGCAGACACGAAAATGAACGAGAAGCTGATTTAAGATCAACCTGCAGAAATAACGTCTTTTAACAACATGTAATTCTTGTAATTCTAGTCACTATGGACATATTACGAAGGACGGTCAAAATTTCATAGAACTCAATGTACAAGTAAAAGGTGGGGACATTTTTATGTTTTTGACCAATTGTACTGTCATTCCCCAGAAAATAAATATCTTTTGACCAGTCCCGAAACACAGCTTCTGTAGCCGCCATAAGCTCGTCAGTATTGCAAAATCGGGTTCAACGCAAGGGATACTTAAACTGCGAATCAGATAATAATCACTGGGTGCCAGGTCAGGACTGTATGGGATGATTCCGCTATACGAAATGCTCTCACGAATGACAGTTTTAACAATTCGACTCTTTTGAACTGGTGCATCGTTACGTAGAAGATGGACACCAGTAGTTAACATCCCTCGGCGCTTTTCTTTGAATACGTTTCACAGCTTCTTCACTGAGTCAGCATAGTAGTCACCAGTGGTTTTACTTTCGGTTGGTTTGTAATCAGTCATAAAAAGTCCCCCCTTGGAATACCCTCAAAAAGTGGCCATTACCTGCCAGCAGAGGGTAGTGTTTTAAACGTCTTTGGAGCAGGAGAACTTTTGTGATTCCACTACTTTGACTTATGTATGGTATAAGGGTCCAGGTGGTGAATCCAAGTTTCATCTAAACTCACAAGACACGCATGCAAGTTGTCTGGATTTGCCATGTAAATGCCTAAGAAGAGTTCCCGACTTGACTTCATGGGAGACACCGTCTTGCAGAAATTTTAGACATGCGCAAACGTACATGGATTACATTACACAAACTTCCCGGGATAAACACAACATCCGCTGACCAGACATCTCAACTTTTGTGATGTTATCATTTGTGAGGACATCTGCAGCTCTACCTGACCGTAGATCATCTTCAAGCGACGTACGCCCAAGCCTAAACTCGGCAGGCCATTTTGCCACGGTGGATTATTACATCTGATTTAATAAATGTTGGTTGCGTTGATTTCCTCTTTTGTAGTGTTGTACTCAGTGTTGAGTGATTTCAATACGGTGATGCACATTGAATGTGACAAACACCATAATAAAGAAGTCGACATCCATTTATTTATCAACAACTGTCTTGCAAACTTTGAGTAGCCAGTTCTATTTACTTTTTGACCGTCCTTCGTGCAGGTTATATCAAATATACTCATTGGATAAGAAATATGGGGAACTGAAAATGTTTATATCCCACCCCGTCGCTTGCAGTGATTGACCAAGTTCCAAAGGACACTTCGTCCCCCAGGTCAAAACTATGACTCAGTACACCGTCAGTCATCAGCATCTTGTTCCAGAGTTCAACCTTTTGTCCTTTCGGATCCTGGAAACGTATGCGTGTACGACGGATTAGCCATGCTTGCGTGCATACATTCAACACTTAATATGAATATAAAATGTTTACTTGAAATATATAACTGTGTACTTGTTGATTCTTCACAGATATGAGTATAACTCGATTTTGTCAGATACATGTTATGCAATGACACACTCATAACGAAAACGTTCATGGTAAAGTTGACAAAGGAAACGTAACAAGTGATATTACCTTCACAGTAACTGTTAATGGTACAGAGAGGGGGATTAGGTGTTGGTTTAATCCTATAACTCGAAATCGAACTGCAATAGATTGGTAAAAATATTTACATTAAACAAGTATTTCATAACTCATTCTGATTCTTATTTAATGATGCACATCCTTAATGATCCATTGACATTTATGCATATTAACCTTGTGGTGTATCATATGGTAAGAAAAACCCATATAAGTCTGACTTAGCATGACGTGTATATTTTACAGTCATTTCGTGAAATGACTAAGAGGGTCATCCATTCAACTATCCCTACTGCTCGCTTTCTTTCTTCCTGGGTTAACCTTGGCATTCTCTCTGTGTGACTTGATGTGCAGTGATATTGCAGTGTTGGACAGGCCATTTACACTGATTTTTCGCACGATCTTTCCCATGTATCCGACTAAGACATGTGTTTCGTGTTTCTGAGAGTCGGGGCCACAAAATGCGTTTAGGCGATTTGTTTTGCGCATCACCAACATTGGCAATCGTAACCAAGCACATTTACATCAAATTTGATGGAAACGTCCAACCTATGTATATGGCCAATAGCGAAATGGCTCATCCCCTTAGTCATTTCACGAAATCACTGAACTTTTTAGTCATTTCACGAAATGACTGATCTCACAATCTGACTGTAACATATACACAAAGTACACATTTGCTATGAAATATACAGCATTTAATTGTCAGACCAATTACGGGTACGTACCTGTTTGTCCTCCCGTGTAGATATATTTGTCTGTTTGTATCAGGTAAAAATATCCATCATCCCTGTATACAAGTTCGGGAGCAGGTGTAAGAGATTCCATTTTGATTCTTTGAGTGGTTGGTTTACAGACGAAGGTATACATCTTATCTCGCGTTATAGTTGATGGGACCTGTTGGTTAAAATTCTATTTCCTGTATGATGCTCAGAAATCAATAGTTTCAACACCTAACCCTGTACAGGAGAGTACGCTGGAAACTGATTTCTAAATCGAAATTATTGGGTCAGTCATGAACTTGCCGCCGAGTTACTGTTAGGATATCTTTTTCATGGTAAATGAAAGTATAACATGATCAATTGTGATATAAGACTTTATGTGTACATAAGTACTAATATTGGAATTTTTCATATGAAGGCATGCGACTCTGAGACCAACTGGTAGTGGGTAATAAATGGAAAATATTGAAATAGCAACGAATACACGCCAAAACAATCACGGACTATTCTATTCAGCACTTGGAACACCTTTTCTTTCCATAATGCTGGTGAAATATGTGGGAATGGGTATGGTGCTGGAAAATGATGGCTGTTCAGTCTACACAAAGGACGTTTTCCTATATATTTGCTGTTAAACCTCTGTCGATTGCAATGTTGTGTGCTATCTGGGGATACATCATTTTAAGGGAAAGCGAACAATACTGTATGGACCCCTGGTAGTATTACGAAGAACTGCAGTACATATTGTTTTGCCATGGTAGATTGGCGCCATCGAAGAATGAAGTCCTGAGTGGATATTTCATCAATCACAGCAGCCTTTTCATATTTAGTTTCTTCAGATGGAAAATAACTGAAGTGTCCAATACCTTCAACTCTAGCGTTGTTATTGTTTCTGAAAGAAAACGAGAAATTACAAGTTTATATGACTGAATGTTTTTGCCTATACCAGCGTCTCATACATTTACCTGGCAATAATATAAGAGAAGAATTGTTGATTGGTGTCGACTAGGTCAGATGCGTCAATGAGTGTTTTGATGTTTTCAGTAGTATTAACCATTTGCTTTTCTTAATAAAGGAACTGACCATCAATATAACGTCTTGAACACTACATGACAGTAAACATTTTATCATACATGAAGACCTGCTGTATATGTAAGCTACACAACGTCGTCACGGGATTCTCTAAAATGACCTTATACTAAAAGTATATTTACCTGGGGAAACGTCTATGTTTTTTGAAGAAACAACTTCCCCTGTTGCCGTTTTTATTTCTCCGACTAAAGGAATAGTCCATGGATTGCCTTTGCTGTGGATTTCAACACTGAAGTTCGTTCCTGGTTCGATGTAATCGGGGACCAGAAGAATCACGTTTCTGTGTAATGAATAAGCATATTGCTTAAACATACACAAAGTGTTATGTGCTTGCCTATACATACATATAAGGGTAGGAGATTAGGACCACATAGTCCATCATTTGTAGAACGTTGTGTGAAAGGGATTAACTTCACGAAACATTAAGGCAGTGAAATGTCCAAAGACTGAAATCAAAATGGAAACTGCAAATCCGTAAAATTTCTATCACAAATCATTGTAAATGTTACATGTTTAATTGTGATACCATTGATTAACGAAACTAATGCCCGTTGCTCCACCGGAACAATTGTTGTTCATCGGTAGACTGACATCTCGGTCTTTGAAAATATAAAACTGTGAGAGAAACATATAACTCCATGTAAATTTAAAAGAAGCTCCAGTGAGATGGGTGAACCTGCGGAAAATCCAGACTTGTTTGATATAGGGTGTTTGCATTATTGGCAGTGCTGGTGACTGGTGGTCTTTAGCTCGTCTTTTAATGGTATTACATGTAATATGGATCTTTGTGTTGAATACACTCAAATTGTGACAACTTGCTAACGTTTTACTGTCATTTGCGACATATATTTCTTATAGTTAAACCAAATGTTTCTCGTCACTATATGGCCGAAAAATTGCCGATGTGACGTTGAATTTTAACTCACTCACTCACTGGCAGTGCTAGGAAAATATCATGGTTCAGGGGCCAGTTGGTTAGGGACTCTCCTGCGGCTATGCTTGTTGGATATTTCTTCTTGCAAAGGGTCCGTGTATGTTTATCGGCAGAAAGTGACAGCTCCGAGTCTTGCTTTATACATAAGTATACATGGAACCCAGCGAAACTTCGAGTAAGAATTTGTCTACAGCAATGTTGGTTGATGCATGTTATTGTATCACAATTTCTCATGATTTCAATCACTGTTATTTGCAGACCGCAGTCACATTGATGGAATGAGTGCGGTCTTACGTAGCAAACACTCAATCAAACATAAACCATTGTTCTGTGGCACAAGAAATTGTTGTGATTTTATTCGCAGTGATTTTAAATACTTGTAGTGAAGGTCAATGTCATAAAATTGTTGAGTAGCTTGTAAAATATCGAATGTTGCAGTAAGGGCTGGGACGGGTAACCCGGATACCCGTGACGGGTGGGTAATGAGTTGGACCCGGGTACCCGTCACGTTACCCGGACCCGCTTTGATCACGTGACTAATATATGAAGACTTAATTGAATGTGTTTATGATTATTATATTTACATCGAGATTGTTGTGTTATGTTTGAGATTGTGGACTAAACTAGCAGTGAAAACTCACAAGGTATCAACTGTCGACAACTAAGCATGTCACGTGTAACATAGGTTGCAAGTACGCCATATAATTGTTTACATGTGAAAGACTCAGGAACGCAGACGTCCGCCTTAAATAGAGTCTGAACAAACCGCGAAGGTAGACCTATTGTTACCTATTAGGTAACTCGGTTTCAAAACATTTACCAAATTGTACGATGCAGTAGTTTGGCCAGTTATAACTAAAGGCATTTCAGTCTATGGAACAGAGGACTATTCATAAATCAACGCAATGCAAAACCGTGCTATGAGATTTTACCTAAGTCTAGGCTAGTGAAGTCGAGGCTAATGAAGAAGTTATTGGTGACATGGAATGGAACCCTGCAAGTGACAACTAAGTGTACGACAAGATATATGCTTTATTCGTTACTGGAGGAGAATGATGAATATGGACCAAGAACGTATAAAGCCCTATGTTTTTAATTGGGAAATAATCAAGAACGGAACAGACACAAGACTTGTCTCTCAGCTTTTTACCGGCGAATGAACACATTGGGAATCACCAAAGAAGCTCTTAAACAACATCATCACTGTAAGAGACTGTTAAGAACTACCGTTACAAACTTTTATAAACACAAGGTAAAATTCATTACACCTGTAGAACGCAAAACGGGGATCGGGGAAAAACAAACTCAGGCACTACAGAAAAAAGGCCCTCGTGTTTTTGCAAGGATTAAAGATTTAAAAAATATTATTTTTGAGATGACCCCCGACTCGAAATGCTTCACAGTACAATACATGATGTTTTGTATTGTGAAGCATTTCGAGTCGGGGGTCATCTCAAATTGTTATATATTTATAAAAAAAATTAATCCTCGCAAAGACACGAGGGCCTGTGCTTCAGAATCCATAAATCGATATTCGATATAACAGAGGCCTATGTTTTAACACCTCAAAGTCTCACAGACGTGCCCTTGCTTTGTTCAGGACGGGCACAGCACCTCCGCGTATAGATACCTGCATGGAACGTGCAGATAGAAGATGTTTTCTCTGCCCAAATCGAGTTGAATCGGAACAGCACGTGTTATTAAAATCTCCATTTACGACGATTTAAGAGAAGACCTTATAACATCAGTAAAGTGTTTCATGCCACGTTTTACCCTCTTATCGGAACCTGAAAAGTTATCACTCCTTTTAAGCTCTGAAGATCTTAAAAACGTATGTGCCAAAAAGTGCTTCTAAACCCTTTTAAGAGACGCCGCCAAAAGTTTATATTTTTGAAAATATTTCTATTGCCATTTTATCTACTCGTATGCTTCCTATATATTGCTCTGTGATATTTAACCGTCTCTCATAACTCCATTTATAATATTTACTGTATATGTTTATATGTATTATTATTATTTTAATGTTCATATGGTGAGACGTAAATAAGCTATCTGTCTGTCTGAGGGAGAGAGGTATTTACTTTGAAAACTTTATGTTTACATTACATTGTTTACTTGTTAGTTTAATCGTACACACTTTTTACTTATACCATCAATTGTAATTTGCCTGTAGATTGTTGGAACGGCATTTGTTTGTAGCTCATGGTTTGTTACGGAGGGATGTTTGTTGTTCAGATGTTTTCACATCGTTTACGTACTCCCTCCTTTCTGACTTAGCTGCACTGTGCACAAAGTGCATTTTGTCTTAGTGCCTGACGCGACGTATTCAAAATATTTCCAGACGCCACTCTTAATCTCGGCCATAACTGATTTTATTGAAGGGGAATAACTCGCAATAAGTGTTATAACGGGTACCCAGGTGGGGTCGGGTAATAGGGGGTCGGGTACCCGGGTAGGAAATTGGGACCCGTCCCAGCCCTAGTTGCAGTGGCAATTATAACAGGAAGTGTGATTAGAGTTACCGCCCCTGTTTTTTATAAACAAAACAGCAAGCTTGATAGCTCATTTCGTGATGTGACAGTTCCTAGAAGAAATGTTGTGCAAATATAGGAAGGAACCGTAGGCGACTCGAGGACGGTTACGACTTTACCTGCATCTTATATAGCCGCCAAGAACAGATTATAGTATACCTGTCTTAGAAAATCGAACTCAGTTTTCAAGACTATTCCGAATTGAAGAACGGAATGCGTAATCCTTTCAAGAATGATAAATGTAAAACAAATGCAGAGCCTGATACTTATTGCTGCTGCACTTAATTGACCCGTTGTATGGGTTTTGTGATTTAGTGAATTCAAACTTTCGATTTGGACGAACTGATATGTGGACTTACTTTGTAGTTTAAGTTTAGAAATTACCTCATAACAACCCATTATCTACACGGTAAAAAAATGCAATGCCCATTTATGCAGAATAGGCACCCAATCCGCTTTGTGGAAGCCGCGGTGGCTGAGCGGTCTAGGCGTCTGACTTTGTGTGCTGGCGATTAGGTGCCTGACTCTGAGGGTGTGGGTTCGAATCCCGGATGGGACTCAACCCAAAAAGTACTAGAATCTGTACTTTACTAATAAAGTGTAATCCCAAATATAACATATGTTACATTTGACCACTTGCTAAAATGGCATTGTGTATTTCATTGCTTTTGGCCGTGGGAGCCGTGCCAATTAACACTTATCAGAGGGGTACACAAAGTCCGCAGTCTAGACTACCAGTTGTCCGACTTCCATTTTTTGTGGAAGCCGCGGTGGATGAGCGGTCTGGGCGTCTGACTTTGTGTGCTGGCGATAAGGTGCCTGACTCTGAGGGTTTGGGTTCGAATCCCGGATGGGACTCAACCCAAAAAGTACTAGAATCTGTACTTTACTAAGAAAGTGTAATCCCAAATATAACATATGTTAGAACGCATTGTTGCAAACTCGGATGTTCCGTGTCCAGGTGCAAAAAGGGATCTAAAATGACATTTTGTACTCAGTGTACGTAGATAGAGGTTATATTTCTTCGAGATGGACTTCAGTTCCATTAAAGCAATAAAATCGAATCATTATTTTCAAAACACCTACCGACAAAAGAGGAACTTTGATAACAGATTTAGCCTTCCTGGTGGCATCGTCATTAAATTTTTGTGTGTTAAACCTCTGGTTGGCGAAGCAGAATCAAGTATTTTCCCAAATTCAGGTAAAATTATGAGCGGTGTTACTCACTGGTTTCTTGCTGAACATGATGGTGAGAGTAGCGCAAGAAGAATGCACACTGAATACATCTCCCTGTAACAGAACAGTTATGCAGATGTAGGATGTTAATTAGATTGGCTGTTCTTATATGACCCCTTGATTTCTTGTGACCCCTTGATTTCTAGTTGCTCAACCGAAACGTTCTCTTTTCTACAGATTCATCTTGTGCGTTTATATATTATGTATTTATATGTTTATTTTTAAAAACAAATGCTGGGCACTTCAATATGTCTTTTAGCAACATCTTATTTCGCGAGGGAAAGCTGTGATAGGTGTCCATATTTGACGAAAGAGACAAGGTCAATGTGACATAAGGACAATCTGGAACACCAGCTGTCGCTTCCCATGTGGCTGACTGAGACGAGATTACTAAGTACAGTTTTGACACCTGATTACGGCAGCGGTCACAGATTTGTGTGGCCAAGAATTGGCGTGACCATGTTATATTTCCGACGCATTACATATGACACCACACAGGCGTGCGATTTGTTTCCTGTGTTCACGAACTGCTAGCTTTTGGCAATGCTGTGAAACAATACGCATATCTCGTTCTGTTTCCACCAGTATTTATTCTTCTGAAATGTTATTTTTATTAGCGAAAATGGACTATCACTATTGTAAATGTATGGGAATATGACCATAAATTACAATTGTTATTTAAGTTTGGGCTGCGCAGTCAATGTGCATATGGGTTTATGAGCATGTGGACGTTTGTAATAACGCCTTAACAATCGCTGCATGCGGCATTAAACAAACAACGCATATAGCATATACAGCGCTCAGAGAATCAAACCATCCAAACAATTTAGCTATCATTAGGGAGACGTTTAGGTTGATATATAACACAATGACATATTTTCACTAACTGTTAAATCCTGAGCTCCAGTACATATGACCACACGGTGATATGTCAACTATTTATAGTTAGAGTCTTTGAATGGCACTTAGAAGTGATACACATAAAGGCAAGAATGTTATGGATGTCAACTTCTTTATTGGACACGACGTTTCGTTAACATGTACATGTATAGCTGTCTGTTTCCTAGTTGTTTTATTCACATGATGAAGGAGTAAGAATATACTGCGAAACGTCGTGTGCATCACAATAAAGAAGTTGACATCCATAAAATTCTCGCCTTTATGTTACCTACATGTTTTTAAAGAACAACGTTTGCAAACATCAATGTATATCTCAGTAGCAGTGACTATAAAATCCGAAGTTTCTAAAACGTCAGCTTACAAACTACTATTACTTTAACTGGAATAGTCTTTCTTTTAAATTTGATTTACAGCCATTGTCAAATTATCTAAATTATGTACAACGACGGCGTAGTCAACCCTACCTTCCTGCCTCTTTTGTCCGTTTGTTTTCTTATTACATGCATATGCACATTGTTGTGCATTATCTGATAATATTTACTGCGTAGTTTAAACACATGTCCTGTTCTCATAAACATGTGTTACCAAGCAGCCAATAACTGCACATTTTTTACTTATTAAGCTACTCTTTAGCTTTCACCATGACATGATCATATTACATAACACACCCCAATTTATCTTAGTCACCCACAGTCATCTTGTGGAACGGTCACACCGAGATTTTCATACTCCCTTAACTACCTAAACTTATACTCAACTATTATACAACTGCCGTCAGCACAATGGTGCAACACCTACCTATTCCAGCCTCAACTAACCTATACCCCACTACACAAAACTGTATACACTGTTACAGGTCATTGGCTCCCTCCCTCTGCAAGCAGTCAGCGGTCTGCTGTTTATTTTGTTGACAGTTACATAGATAGATTCTTTAATACAAATGCATAAAATCGGTGATTTACAATGTGATTAGGTTGTCTGACAAAACATCCACTTGCACAGTTTGAGATCGATTTGATCATTGGATGAAGAGATATTTACAAAAAAACGGGTCCACATGCATTTCATGCCAAACTATAGGTGTTGGTTCAAGATTTTCGATATGGTCACCGGTAGTTTATATTACCAACTTCGATTGTTAGTGGCTGTAGGCTCAAAGGGGGCTGAAGTATTGTAAAACTATTGCCCTCCTCAGAGGGTACGTAAGTCCCAAAACTTTCAAAGCTAAATTCAAATTTACCAGATTGTTAAAACGTAGTATTTTGGTTCTTTTAAAGTTGGCTACATACTTCCTACAATCGCCAGCGGCTGAAGGGATGATTCCAGCTAGGGTCCATGCAGGTAGCAAAGGTACTGTAAGTCCCCATGGTCCCTAGTATGGTGATATACCTTCGGTTGTTGTTGTTGAAAAGAACTGTAAGTCCACTGCGTTAACTGTTAATGACATTGTGACGTCCATAGATCTCATTTGAACCACCACGATCCCGACGGTCTCCGTACCAACAACCATCTGGAAGGGTAGCACTCTCGTCTGAAGAGGTTGGTGGGAAAGGCCCATCCCAATATTTTCTAATAATTCAATTTCTTGCTAAGGAGCAGACTCACGCTGAAGTCCGCCAGTTGCAGTTATGCTGTGGACAGAAACATCCATGGAAGAAAAAGAAATACAGGAACTTGGAACGCCGCCTTGACGTCCTAAGAGATCATCTTAGGAGTGGACAAATTAGCACCAGAGAGTTTGCAGATGCTGCATCTCACCTACTTCATGTTGGATGATTTTGTATACGAGTAGGTGAGTGAGTTATTATTTAACGTCACATCGGCAATATTGCAGCCATATCGTGACGAGAACATTTGACATGGAAATAGAATATATATAGATATTTTAAAAACCTGCCGACGAAGGACAGTAAAACAACTAGAAGATCACCATCCCTTCAGCCATTGGCGTTGATGCTGAGATTTAGCCATACATTAAAAATAAACAAAAATACTACGATTAAAAACCTGGCACACTTAAATTGACTTGAAATGTTTTGGGACTTACGTACCCTCTCAGGAGAACAATAATTTTACGCTACTTCAACCCCGTTTGAGGGTACAGCCACTAACAATCTCAGTTACTAATTCAAACTACCAATAATAAAATATATATATCTATTTACAAATCACTTAACAAATCTAATTCTTTTAAAAATGCAATAATTAAATGAGAACTGACATTATTAAAAAGATCCTTCATAGTGTTTACTTTGAAATAGGTATCCCTTGTGATGGAATATTCGATGCAGTTAAGCAAGACATGCTTGACTGTGATTCTTTCATCACATGATTTTGTATACGAAATAAAATGTACAAGGTGGCCTTGATGAAAATAGTATGTTATTTTACCAACACTTACAGCATAATCTGACCGCATCAGTATGCCATATCAACCCGTTACATCATGAATGCATGCATCCAACAGCTCCTTCAAACTGGTCTTAACGAAATAACTTAAAATAGCGAATTTGGTGGAAATTTGATTGTAAAATCACTTTTCTGCAACATAATAAACGTAAAGCAGGTACTGTTTTACTATGAAAATGTCCTCTCCTTAAGATTGTAGATCGGTTTTGCTTATATGTCACATCATTTAACAGCATCCCCAACTTCACCTGACATGGTTTAAACAAATTTATTCATTCATTTAATCATGATGGGATTAGCAAACAAGCATTAAACATGCTTATATCAATGCCGCTCCCTAACAATAATACATAGTATTAACAATAATGATAGTGACGTACACATGAGCTGGGTGCAAAACATAATGTGAATGTACAAGGAACAATATTGACGATATAATGTGTTACAATTTGCAAACATTTATAAGGCAAATAAACTAGAAGCTGTTGTGATCTCAGTATGACGGCAAGGCACGGTATGAACAATAAAACTAATTTTAGGTGAATTGCGAGAATCTCTGGGAATATAGCATGTAGTTATGTACCGATTTTAGTAGGTCCAGATTTACTTGTTCTGATGAGCCCGAATGGCCAAATAAGATTGATGACAAATTAAATCCTCTACTAAAGAAGTATGCATTTGATCTTATGTCGTTAAATGTGGGACAGATGAGGAAGAAATGAAGCGCATCTTCGGTGTGATGCCCGCAGTTACTTTCAGGACTATCAGATATATATCTTGAAAACTTATCTCCATTTAGATCGCTACACCCAAGCCGAAGTCAAGAGTGGATTATCTGGCAGAATCTTGAACCATGGAAAAGATTAAAGTAGATTTCACTGGTGTTGTGTTCTTTTAGTTTGTTTTTGAAATCCCCAAGAGTATTGGCGTTTACGATATCTGGAAGGAAAGAGTTCCAGATGTTTACCGTGTCAGGGATAAATGAATTGGAGTACAAACTATACTGGCCATATAAAGAAACTGTGCACACAGAAAATATAAATATAGGCACACAGCATCTTTATACATAAATACATTTGTGAACATAGCAAGTATTGAGACAATCAAACGCCCATGCACGTGCCAGGCGACGTGACGTCATTGACGGTGGCCTATGTCCTTGCAATGTGTTACTGCACTTACAGCCCGTGCAGCTGCACACAACATGTGAAACTCTGAAATTGCTGTCACTGTCGAAAGCTTGATCTTTGGTCATTCAAACGTTCACAAATTCACATGAGAAGTCACATGCACATCATGCCAAAATTAACATCTGCTCAACTTCATGAAGCCATTGGAATGGTTCGAGCAGGAATAAGCCAACAACAAGTGGCAGCACATTTCCAATGCCATCGTAACACGATATCTGCATTGGTCATGCGTTATCGAAACAGTAATGACGTCGCCGATCACCCACGTTCTGGGCGTTCCCGACGTAACGACGCCAAGACAGGACAGATGGATTCGGGTGACTCATCTCAGATACAGGTTCCAGAAAGCAGTGACCACGTCCCAGACCATTCCCCAGGCCTTCAATGCTCATTTGGTAGCCTCTATGCGTATTCGATGCACTGCTGTGCTTCACGCACATGATGGTGGTCATACCCGTTATTGACTTTGTGACTTCGTCGTGTGATCCCCTACTCGATTTTGAACTTCTGACGTCATCGTTACGGATATTGTTCATGTTCTTTTGACATTTTTTTGTGGTCCGATACTTCAGCTTATAAAGTGTCTACATCATTTCGTCTTTGCTGTGTTGTATTCCAATTCTGAAGGCATGTTCTGTGTGCACAGTTTCTTTATGTGGCTATAGTATTGCATTTAATATTTTGTAGGTCAGAATTATTTCTCAAATTATATCCACTTACAGATGATACGTTTTCTGGAACTAAACTAGACAAATAATCTGGAACTACACTGTAGTTTGTTAACCATTTTGTAAAATATGTATAATTTTTAACGGCGTATTCTATTTTCAAGTGAAGAAATATTTGTCTCAGAATATAGTTTATTATGACTTGTGCCGCGAACAGCTCCGCAGATAGTCCTAATAGCGTCTAGATTTAATTTCTCTAGAAGAAGCGTTTGCTATTTCGTGCAATTACATGACACGCGTAGTCGAACATTGGTAAAATAAATGACCTGTACATTGTCTGCAGCGTTTTCCTGTTGAAGCGATATTTAAAACTTCTTAGGCAGTTAATCATTGGACTGAGTTTTTTGTGACATTTTCGATTTGACTATGCCACATACAATCTTGTTGAAGAACCATTCCCAAATGTTTGTGAGATGAGATGTCGTTTATGTTAGTGTTATCCATCGATAAGACTAGTTTGATATTCTGGATGTGTTTACGGGTAAATTGAATAGAGACCGTATTATTTGGATTAAGATCAACTTGCCATTTTTTAGCCCAGTTTGATATTACAGATAAATCAATATTCAGACATTGTGATGCTACATTCGGATCGTTTATTACTACATAGAGCGAAGTGACACCAGCAAACAGACGTATATTACTGCCAGTGCCATCGACAATATCGTTGATATAAACTAGGAATAATAGCGGACCTAAGACGGAACCTTGTGGGACGCCAGCTGTAACTGGTTTTAATTTGGAACTGAAGCCGTTGATTACGACAGGCTGTCTTATATCTTCGAGGTAACTTTTAAACCATAAAAGTAGTTTGCCACAAATACCGTAAGCGTTCAATTTCTAAATGATTCCTCTGTGCCATACTTTATCGAATGCTTTAGATAAAGGGAAGGAAATAAGCTGCTCTTATTTCCTACCCTTTATCTGATTCTTTAGCAATAAAATCATAAAAGTAAGTTAGTTGGTGAGATGGTGAATCTCCAGGGGTAGACCCGGACTGAAGATTTGTTAGTAAGTTATTGTCTCTGAGATAATTAAATACGTATTTGAAAACACTTTTTTCAAATACTTTGGCTAAACAACCAATTAGTGCTACATGTCTATAATTGTTACATTCATTTATATTACCTTTCTTATGAATTGGAATTACTGAAGCTATTTTTTCCAAATGTCTGGAAATAATGAGTTATTCAGAGAGGAATTACACA